GCTGGAGAACAAAGTTCATTCTGCATAAAGACCCATTTACACGGTGCAAGTTTCTTGCCTGTTGTATACAATTAAATTGAAGCGAGTTCATGTATGAACAAATGGTTAGTACAAATATTGCGCGCAATTTATTGCATTCAATTATTGCTCTTGTATGTACAAGAAAATGGCATCGTGTAAATGGGCCTTAATTATTGACGAGGAATCGACTCTGTATGTATAAAAACGTGACATTCATTTCAAATTTTGATATATTGCCATCGCTATGTTTTTTATATAGAAAAAAACTGAATAAGTCGACAAATTATTAATCCGTTATTAATAATAACTATTATATATCTACTGTATCATGTGTTATAGTACATAAATATATTATAAAAGCTGCCCTAATGGCAAGGGTCTATTATAATGTCCAAGAATACATTGAGGACAAGGATGTGTGGAAATTACTCATGATCTGCAATCTGATTTGCAATTTGCTAGTGGCTATAATTTTGTATACTTTTATCATCAAAAAAATTGTTAACAAAACCGCAGTTTCTTTTTTCATTTTTTTATGTGAGTAAGTGGCAAACGATCTGGCGGTTCACCTGATGATAAGTGATAACCTAATAATAACCATAACCGCCGCCCATGGACATTTGCACGACTTGTGCAAATGCGTTGCCACCTTTGGGCCCCGGCTACCTCACTCACCAGACGAAATGCAGAAGTGTAACACTTCTACTTTACGCCGGTCTTCTGTGAGTTCGTGGTAGTTACCCGGACGGACCTGCCCATTCTGCAACAGTGAATACTGTTGCATGGCCCTACCACATTTACCAGATCTTCTCCGGTATACTTGCTAGCTAATCCTGCTAGCATAGTTCACCCTTGGTAATTATTTGACGTTCAAAATCAGCTCGATATAAGCCTACATTGAATAAAGAAATTTTTGACTTTTGCACTGAATGCACAAAAGTCTAAACCACCGATCTCATACCCCGTGTCAGTCTTGGAAATGTATTCATTGTGAAACAAGACAAGACGAATGTTTCGTTGAAAACACAACGAGCAGGAGTTTTTCTATTTTACTACACGATTGCAGTCGTATTGATGTCATTGTCTAGAATAATTACCGCTGTCGACGTGTTCTCCTACAAGGCTCTTAGGAAATTCACGTAGAGAAACTACTATAAAAACCTAAACGGGCACGGAATGGCATGTTACGTCGCTGGTGGACTCGTTTTATCTATTAAATCTGAAACAGTTACGCCCGGTTGCTGAGACATTGATCATCGTAGAAATTAACAAACCAGCTGTCAAATGGATTTTCAAATTTCATTTAAGTTCCCAAAAGGAATGTTAAACTGTTTGAATTGATAATTCTGATCAGTAAGAAAATCATTCTGATTCATTCAGAGAGTTTAAACATCCTTTTGGCAACTTAAATGACATTTGAAAAGCCATTTAACAGCTAATTTTTACGGTAGTTGGGCCACGCAGCAGCCTCGGCTGTTGCACGAATGGGCAGGCTCGTCCGGTAAGCACCACGACCTCACAGAAGACCGGCGTAAAGTGGAAGTATAATACTTATGCGTTTCGTCTGGTGAGTGAGGTAGCCGGAGCCCATTTTTCATAAAGTCTGCCACCCTCGGGTGTGGCAGATGTCCATGGGCGTCACTTAACATCAGGTGAACCGCCTGTTCGATTGGCAACTTTTCACATAAAAAAATAAATAATTAGTTAATAAATAATTATTTCTGCTATACGATGATCAGTGTTTCAGAAACCGGGCGTTAACTATAATAATTGTAGTAATCATTTAATCCGGTTTGTTGCGGTCAAATTGTTGCTGCAGTTGGTAGACTATATGCATATAATTTATGCCTTAGAATTGTTTGCCAATTTGGATTTGGACATAAAAAAGATGAAAAAAAACTCTTTTTCGCGTTTCTTTTTTTAACGCATGTTGTTAACGCATATGCAAGCCCTAGATGTTATGAGTTGATGGGCGGTGGTATTCTCTTAACATTAGGTGAACCAGCGCATCGTTTGCAACTTTTCGTAATAAAAGAATCCATTTCTAATTAATTGCAGCCTATCAATTCTCCAAATGCCATCCAAGCATTCTTAGCCTACCGTAAAGTTGCAAATGTCCATAGCCGTTCTCGTATTACTTCCAATCAGATCAACCGCTTGCACTGAGAAGTGAGTGACTACTGTAGTATGGATGGGTTGCCTCGGCCGTATATGTGCCACGGTCAAGTTTGTAACACAGAGCGTACGCGTTATATTACGCGTTATCCTTCGTTATCTATACGGATAAATAAAATTAAATTGTTAGTTTGTAATATTAAAATAACTGCTTTTTAATAAATGCATATGGATTTCTACCCGGTACACATACAAAAAAAATTTTACAATTCTTTTCGTCTGTCCGTCTGTTTGTTCCGACTAATCTCTGAAACGGCTCGACCAATTGACGGTATTTCACTGGCGGATAGATGATGTAACAATGATTAATTTGGGTTACTTCATTTTAAAAATTCTATTTAATTTTGTTAATATACATAGTACAATTCCACGCGGACGAAGTCGCGTGCACAGCTAGTGAATAATAATACAGTGCATTTTAAGCCGACGTAGTCGGTATTTAAGTCCGCGTGCGCATTTTATTTCGATTTGGAACGGCCCTGTATTGAACGGGCTAGTCATTAATTGCTCCATAAACTTTAGACAGTGGCCAGGTCGATGAACTCGTTGCGTAACCAGAAGTAATGTGTGCCTTACTGAACAACATTCAATAACAGGCAAAAATCGATGTAATGTGATATGCATGACATTCCGGAATCGTTCTATTAGGGTAGGGTAGGGTGGGTATATACAAATAAAAGTCCCGCATATGAACTGTTGTTTGTTAATATAATATGGTTCCAATAACTTGTTGTTCGGAGACCCTGAGCCATGATCATTTTTCATTTCGGTTTAAATTATTGCCAGTGACCAGTAACATTTGGAGGACTCATTTTAGATAGGCCGCTAAATTGCAAATAAACATGTCATAGGAGTGGAATTGCGCATGACGGATTCTTTAGCGAGATCACCGAAAACTGAGAAAATGAACTTGAATATGTGTCAAAATGTATCACAGTGAACACATAATGCATAGGCGCATCGAGAACTTATGAAATACAAAGACATAATATTGGCTTTAATCAAACGAAGTGAACACAAAAGTAACAATGAATAGAATATTTATTACATGTAAGGCCTCTTTGTGGAATACCTTTAAAAAGTGTCATTTTTCTGTCACCAAAACACCATGCCGTAGCATTTTATATCTACCTTTGCGCCTCATCAATATATCTTTTTGGGAACATAATATATAAAAAAATTAAAAATGAAAAGATTTTTGGGGTGCACCATAAATATATCAAGAAAAAACTTAATCTCATTTTTCAAAATCTTATCTGTAAATAGACTATATTGTCACTGAAAGGAAAACAGAAAAACTGCCCTATAAATGTTTTACATTTAAGTAAGTTTATGACATTATTATTATTAGTTATCTTAGCAGGTCAAATTAAGGTGATATATAAAACATAAGTATATGACCCTGTGTGGACTGCAATGATTTATTGCGGAGAGAATGTATGTCATCACAAAAACATACTATTTTATATCTAACAAAATATATTTCACTGTGACCACACTCATAGAAGGGAAAACAATATACAATGGTTTGAAGCACTACTGATTCTTAGAAAAATACATCAGGACAGTAACCCATGATAAAATGTCACGAAAAATTACTGTAATATTTAAAAAAATTATAGTGAACACTATCATGTTTTAAAAATTCTTAAGGGGTAGTCAAAGAAAGCTCATTAATGATTAGGTTTGAATAATTTTCTGATTAGATTTATAAAAAATTACCATTATCAACTGATTATTCGTTGCGGTAAATCTAAAAGTAATAATGATGTCTTTGTTTACATTTTTAGGTTATACAGTTAGCAATTACAACGACTATGACTTATACCCCCTTAGAACCTTCTTCTGATTAAAAACTTATTAATATCACCTTCAGACCACGCGTAGCTAAGATTCAGTTGCCTCATAATCATTTTTCCACAGTGCCGAAAAGTACAAAAGATGACATTAAACTTACCTTCCAATTCCTTTTTAGATTGATGTTCGCCCATTTTAAAAACTTCAAATTGAATATCGTTTTTACGAACGTACTAAAAAATAAACGGAGGTCACATAAATTTCATAATAACACATAATAAAATGGATTTTTTTGGTTTTCTTATCACTCAATATTATTGTTGATTGTCATTTGTCACTGTTAGTGCCACTGACGTTTATTTTTTTTATTATTGTTTACGACTTGGGATTTCCTCCATACAGCATATTTATTTATTCAGACATTCAAATTATATATATTTTTAATGTTCAAATAAATAAAATCTAATGTAATCTGGTGTTAGGTATAATAGGAATTTACTGATTTTCGTAATCGAAATTAAATAATAGGAGTTAGTCTCTAAACTATCCAAATTTTGATTTATAATAGAAACATACTGTTGTTTCTGGTATAACTGAAAAAGAAATAATGATCCAAAACATGTACACTATAAATACAAGCGTAACACTGTCATTATTTTATACTACATTATTAATGTAATTTTCGCGCGAGATTTGTATAACATGACATTACCAATGTCAAGAAATTCACAAAGAAAAGAAATGCAATATGCATAATGCATAAAAGAAGGAATGTTTTTTTTTGTTGTCATTGTCACTTCTTCGCTACAACGTTTTTTTTTAAATTTTGAATTTAAAAATGTACTATTTCTATTTCATATATAAGATACTACCCTATAATAAATCCTCTTAGTTTGGGTTTTTGTTTATTTTTCTTTTTCATTTCAGTTTCCCCTGAGAATGTGAAGAGGATATAAACGGTTACAATATATTTTGAAGGCGCAGGTTTCCAAACTTCTAGCAGCAAAATGTCTAACCCGGCTCCCATCGAAAACGGCATTGGCGATGATGCTCGGTAATTATTATAAGTAGTTAAATTGTAAACAAAAAAACCAAAACTAAAACTATTGTAAATAACCATAGATAATAATAACTTTAAATGCGCATAACATCTATATCAAATCAAACTGTGAGCGGCTGTACCTGAAGAAAGCAACCAATTGAGCTTGAGCATCTTGTAAACAGTTAATTATATATCTTTAAACCTGCTTAAATTAGGAAGAAATTAAATAAATAAATATTTCAGGACATATTTTTACTAGATTAAGTAAACATTCATAATTTTTTTAAATCAATGGCTACAACACATTTTAGACAATCAATTTATTTGTTTGTGAAAATAGTCACTTTGAATAGTAAATAATTTAATATGCTATTATATTTTATTTGGCCTAAACATCTGAATACATTTATTGTATGGTGGTCATAGGTTTTTCTTTTAATTGATATTTAGTTCAAATTTGTATGGGATTATTCATAGATAACTAAAAAATTGCACCTATTTTTATGGTTCATTGTTGATTGCTAGCCATCGTTATTAGTATTTGTTTTAATTGCAGAAGGTGATAAATGATCATATTTTTTACCTGATGTTAACTTATTACTATCAGCTATGGATCTTCATAACCAATGGGCAAAACTAATGCCACACAATGGTGTTGCAGTAGTTTTGCCAATTTTTACTAGGTTGAGATTAACAGGGGCCCCTTTATTTCACTCACTAATGCAAAAGTGTAAATACTTTTACTCTAGTACAGTTTTCTGTGGTATAAATGCCATTTCTAGATGATCCAACCGATTCACGCAGCAACAGCATATGGAACTGTGTGGCTCTAATGTAGTATGATAGTTATAAGTTGTATTAGTTTTTCTATAACAATGAAACAAGAATATGTTACCTATATTTTAATAATTTATCTATTAAACTCTTATTTAAATTTTGTTTAATATGCAGGTTAACAATAAAAAAACAGTCCTAGGTTTCCAAACAATTAAAATATGAAATATTAAAAAAAAAATCATTGGTTTAAAAAAAGTTAACATAAAAAATCCCTCATAAGCCTTTAAAATACGTAAAACTTGCCTGCAGGTGGAAAAGTATAAAAAAGAGTTTTATACTTTTCCCGCCTGTAGTCAACAAAATACTGGGAGAAATGAAAGGCTTCATTTTTAATCAGTATCCTTGAATTTAAAAATTAAATAAGTGGCTTAGAAGTAACAGGTACTGATTTTGTCAGCAGTAATATAAAAGTAAAATAAATGAATTTTCTTATATGAATGTTATCCTTTTTTTTAAATTTGCATTGAATGGATAATTACAGCTTTGTTGCTCTGGGGACGACTGGGCATCTTAAAGGTTTTTATTATGTGTCTATGTCCTCTTTTCCAGTGGCACCACATATTTCTTCTCCAGAGGTAGATCCAGCGCTTCGCTATGTCAACGGATAGGATTATTCATTTCCATTTATTGGAAATCAATTATAGTGGTCATAACACCACTTATTTTATTACCAATACCAATTTTAAACGCAGACTCGGAATCTGCAAAGGTAAGCTTTGAATTTTATTATTATAAAAAGTTATTACTTAAGAATATAATCCATATGTTTTAAATAAGTAGAAATCATTTTTAAAAATGAATTAATATAAGATATACAATGCTGAATTTTTGTTTAATATTCTAAAAATTAAGACTAATAAATTATATCAGATGCTAAAAATTTTTTTAAGAAACTATAAAAAAAAGTAATAGAAATTAAATAGATATCAATTCCTCAATAAACTGAGTAAAGAACTTGGATATTGATTATCCGCCTCGAAGGACCAGCGTAAATTGGAAGTATGACAAATACTTTCGCGTTTCGTCTGGTGAGTGAGGCAGCCGGAGCCCAATTTTCAAAAGGTTGTCAACGCATCTGTAACCCTCGGGTGTGGCAGATGTCCATGGGCGGCGGTATTCACTTAACATCAGGTGAACCGTCTGCTCGTTTGACAACTTTTCGCATAAAAAAAAAAAAAAAAAAGGACCAATATTTTGCTAGTATGATACAATATCTTTAAATGATGATATGAATGATTATAATACAATTTAATTCATTTCCAACCATGTTTATTTCATTGACATAGCCAAAATATTATAATGATACGTAGTCAATACATTTTTTAAATTAGATTTTCATTTTCTCGCACACGTGAACAGATTTGATCTAAAACGTTCAGTCAAAAATAGTGATACTGTTTATTTTATTTAGTCTCATACCTTTGCAAGGTGTTTTTGTTGTTTTATTTCTCCCACACCAACGGATATTAAAATCTGGCTACGCTCGTGTTTCCAATGCCTACAACACGTTCACAGGCCTACAGATGTATGTACGTGGTACTGATAATGGCGACGTATTGGGTGCTGGAGCTGCTCCCGTTGCCCGTGACGTCGATGCTGCCCATCGTTCTGTTCCCAACGATGGGCATCCTGGACTCGGACAGGACGTGCGCGGCGTACATGAAGGAGACGAATATGATGTTCATGGGTGGGCTCATGATCGCCGCCGGAGTTCAACACTCGAAGCTGCCGAAGAGGGTGGCCCTGTGGACCGTCCAGGTCGTTGGCTGCTCGCATAGAAGGTGGGTGCGGCGGTCGTTCAGATGTCATTCATCGTCTGCACAGCTAAGCAGTCTTTCCGTCCGATTACAACGTAGTAGGGATGTGCAAGTAAAAAAAATATATCGATACATATCGTATAGATATTTTTAAAAAATTACGATAATTATCGAGCGAAAAATATCGATATATCGTCTTTTTTCGCATGATTATGCATACATATTTTCAAACCATTAAAATACGTAAAGTAAAATAGACATGAATAGACCAGAGTTGCCTAAAAAAACTATAGACATTGACACGAATTCGATAGTCTGAAATAAATATAGAATATCGATCGGATGTTGCGATGAAAATATCAACGACACATATCAATAATTCTATGTGAATCGATATTATTACATATTGATATTTTTTGCCCATGCCTACAAAGTAGGCGTCTTCAAGCCAGGAGTGAGCCGTTTTTACTGAGCTAGCGCGCTTACCATCAATAGCTGCATTGCCACGTACCATCAGGTGGGATGGCAGTCAAGCGCGGGCTTTACTCTTTCACATGGTTTACAAGGGGTCCGTACCTCAGTCAACAACAAAGTTTTGATAAACAGATGCGAATATATTAGCCTCGGTGCCGGGGGTCGTGGGTTCGATTCCTACACGGGACAAGTCTTTATGTTACCCGCCAATTATTGTTTCGCAATATTAAGGTCGTACTATACAATATTATAGTAAAGTAACAGCTTGTACAAGTCCCACTGCTGGGCAAAGGCCTCCTCTGTTCAGAGGCTGCTAGGGCATAGTTCACCACGCGACCCCACAGCGGTTTGGCGGGCTTCAAAATATAAGAGATATTTTTTTGTTGTTTTTTCGAAAATATGCAGGTTTTCTCACGATGTTTTCCTTCACCACTGAGCATGCGATAAGTCAACACTCAAAATTGACACCGAGATTTGGAACTCAGGTTGCTCGAATACATTGAATTAAAAGCAAAGCGAGCGCCCAGACATTGAGCCATCACGACACATCATCATCTTCTTCCTGCAATTATCCCACCTAGGTATGGTCAGCAAAACACGGTTTTGGCTTTGTTTTACAACCGCCCGCCTGCCTAACGTCATCTCTCCTGGTTAACTTGTCCCGTATCGAACCCACGACTTCTGACGCCCTAGCCAATAACTTAGCAACGGCGCCACAATATTTTACTTTATATTAATTAATGTTACGTTAAGTTTTCATTCCCAGGTTGAACTTCGGTCTTACGTTTGTGACTATGTTCATATCAATGTGGGTCTCCAACGCGGCCGCTACAACGATGATGGTGCCCATCGTGGAGGCCATACTTGAGGTTTTGGAGCAGGTGAGCCATCGTAGCACAAGAAAATGTATCTCTAGCATATGGATAGGAAAAGAGAAACAATGGTTTAAAACAGCGTAGACCTGTCCAATGTTTAATTAGTGTCTAGCCAATAATATAGTAACGTTTGGATGACCAGGCGATAAACAGTCTTCTATTCTTCTTTTTTGTATCGACAGGGAATCTCCAAAAGATTCCTGCCTCCTAGGAGAAAGATATGTCATGTGGCGTTCTTGCACAGTGAATCCCTCGGTAGCCACCCCCTGTGGTCTTCGCTGTTGCACGATTCGGCAGGTCCGTCCGGGGATGTACCACGACCATATATAAGACGGGCGTGAAATAGAAGTGTTACACTTCTGCGTTTACAGACTTTATTAAAAGGTGGCGACGCATTCGCACTCCTACGACTGTTCCAGGTGTCCATGGCCGGCTGTTATTACTTAACGTCTGGTGAACAACCAGCTCGTTTACCTCCTTCTAACGTAAAAAAATACATTCTTTTATTGTTCACCACAAATAACAGTATACATAAAAGTACCAATAGAACAACATCGGCGGCCTTATCGCTTCATAGCGATCTCTTCCAGGCAGCCAATGGCGTAAAGGAAACGTATACTATGTAGGTGGTGCAATTGGAATATACATAATATATGATTAAAGCAGATACATACAATAATACTTGCTTGGTTGCTTAAACGTGCTCTTCTGCTCCACAGCAAGGATTGGGAGACGTCTACGTCAACAAGAAGAGGAACGCGTTGCCCGAGAACGGCAAAGACGTGAAGCCGGCTGCGAGCGGGAATTCTGAGGAAGAGTAAGTTCAGCTCTGAGCTGGTCTGCAAGTGCCAACGTGGCCCGTTTGCATAGTTTGCTGGTGCCACGATTGGTACTACGTCGGAAATGCCACAAATTCGGCAGATAGTGGCCACACAACTGTCTGCTCTGTTGCACGAACGGGCAGGTCCGTCCGGGTGAATACACCGACCTTACAGAACACCGGCGTAAAGTGGAAGTGTCATAGCGTTTCGTCCGGTGAGTGAGGTAGCCGGGGCCCTCTTTAATATAAGCATATGTCAATGGGCGGCGGTCATCACTCAACATCATTTGAGCCGCCAGCTCGTTTGGCACCTTCTCACGTAAAAGATGATGTTGTTCGCATCCCCTGATGGCATCGTTTGGCACGCTTGGCAGGGCGCCGATGCCGAGCGACATCACGGTCTGCTACTACCTGAGCATCGCATACGCCTCCACGCTGGGCGGCAGCGGCACCTTGGTTGGCACCGCCACCAACAGCGCCTTCAAGGGCATCTTCGACTCGTGAGTTATTTATTTAAGGACATCAGCAGTAAACAAAAGATTACAAAAAAAATTCTGATGTATGTACCTTATTAGGTGACTCAGCATTGTTTCAGATAAATACAAATATAATCGAGACTAATACAAAATATTTAACAGTAAATAATTCCAATAAAATTGAGAAAGTATTAAAGAATAACAAGCAAAAGTACAAATACGAAATTATAGAATGAATACAATAATCTAAATTAAAAACGAATTATATGATTAATAAAAAATACAATATAATCCTTATATGGGACAACATATTCCTTCTTTACAACACAAATCCCATAAAACTTTCAAAATATTTTATATATTATATTCTGATCGCTTGCGACCACTTATATATAAAAGTTTATTTTTCCTATTTGACTCCGCGGCGCAAAGGTATATAGGCGCTGGGGGTTGTGGGTTCGATTCCCACATTTATGTGACCCATACATAATAATTGTTTCAGATCTGTCCGTTTGTCCACGTGAAATTAATGTACATAAAACATCCTTATGACTCAGTATAATTTTATCCTACAGTAAGGGAAATGTTTCAAAAAAAACTCCTTTGGGCAATAATTAAACACATGTCTCTCTGACAAGAGCATTTGTTATATTTGTTGTCCTGTTGCAGGGAATTCCCAGAGGTGTCGGGCTCTGTGAATTTCTTCTGGTTCATGGCCTACAGCACCCCTCCTATGCTGCTGATGCAGCTTCTTGTTTGGCTGTCGCTGCAGGTCACTTTCATGGGAATGTTCAGGTGGGTGGATTTGTAACGAATTTTATGTAGTTCTATACAAACGCATACTGGACTATGGAATATATCATGTACCCTGTATCAAGCATTAGTGTGGACTTTATGTCCATACTAATATTTGATACGCTTGGTCATTAATCTTATTTTTAGGACACATTTTTACACAACATTCTCTAGTCCCAAACTAAGCAACGCTTGTACTATGGGTAGTAGATAACTGATAAACATACTAAAACATACTTTTCTTTTGTAAATAAATACATATTATACATATATAAACACCCGGACACTAGAAAAACACAGTATTTTTCCAGTAGTGGGGATCGAACCCAAACCCTCTGGCGCAGAAGGCAGGTACACTACCCACTACGTCATGCGGGTGATGATGATATGCTTGATAATTGTTGAAAGTAACTCCTCAAAATGCTATAAATATTTACGTACGCCACCAGTACTGTTCCAAATTACCTTATCTAATCTGTTTTTATTACTAAGACTAGCTGCTGCCCGCGACTACGTCTGCATAGAATATTCTGAAGGCGTAAAATTCAGACAGAAAGACAGATATACATAAAAATATGTGTACAAATTATAGCCTATGTATTATCCTAATGTATTAGCTATATTATTGTAAAGATCCATCCATATTATCGTTAAAATCCATTCAGTAGTATTTGCGTGAAAGAGTAACAAAATCCATACATACATACAAACTTTCGCATTTCTAATATTAGTAAGGATATACGCCATTTGACTGTACAAGTGTACATTGATACTATATAGTATACTGTATTTTTATATAATTCAGTAATATAAGCACACAATTGGTGGTAGCTATGTCACATGCAAGTGGAAAGCAAAAGTCATTCTCACACATTTGCTTGTTTCTACAATGTTCGAATTAGAACATTTACATTTCTTAGAAAATTCCTTTTTACTCCTACAAAGAAGAGAGAAATGAGAATGTAATTGTGAAATCTGAACTATTTTGTGATTGTAAGTTCATTTTAGTTCGTCTTCATCTTCCAGACCGAACAGTGAGGCTGCCAAGAACGTTAACAAGGCCTCTTCAGGGTCGTTCACCACGATGAAGGTGATCAAGGACCAATATAGGAACCTGGGGCCTGTCACCTTCCACGAGAAGGTATGTTTGCTTCAAAGTCAAAGTCAAATTTTCTTTATTAAATATAGGCTTTTTTTTAAGCTCTTATTGAAAGTCAAAAAACTACCACCAGTCTACTAAAGTAGACCAGAGAAGAACCAGCGAGAAACTATTTGAAGTACACAAAAGTATTTAAGTATAAAATTAGCATCAGCCAGATGACTTGCAAGTGCAGAGCAAGAGTCATTTCCGCACATTCTTAAGTTAAAACTGTTCACCAGGTTAGAGTAAGCTTACTGCTGCTAATCGCTATGCAAACCCATTTAAGATTCGAAGGACCTGAAGCATCTTCGAAATTTTCTTGTCTTATTTCTCAGACATGGGGGTTTGAAAACTATGTTTCATTTACGTTACGTATGTGTGTGTGCTTGTATTGTCCCACAAGGTTGATGCACTGAGAGTAGTTGCATTATAGAATCGTAATTATTGCTACATGGAGGAAATAGGGGTGATGATGGTGGAAAATGTTTGATTGAAGTTGGAATCAATCTTGCATCGTTGAAATTCTCGCATTTGGGGCTGACCAAAACTAGGTTTAATTGTGCGTTTATTGCTAATTAATGAATCAATCAAATATCTTTATTCAAATAGAAGCTTGCGCGTTCTTATGAATCGTCATATTTTACATAAAAAAATAACATATCGTCGTTGAAGTTCTAACACCACGTAAGTCACTTTTTGGCCATTTTGACATTGTGATGCCATTCGCTAGAGAATCGAAAGACGCATCGTTTTAGCCAATCAGAAACACGTATCAGCCAATAGAAACTCGTGAAATTAAGAAAATGCATCTACACGGAATCCACCAAATCGGCGTTATTTTTGACATCCGTGGTGTTAGAACTTCAACGACGATATAGGTTTGTAAGGTACCACAATACTACTAATATCAATTGTAAAATCTCCTCTCTTCGAGAGCACTTCTCATGCTGCCACAGCTATCATAAAAAAGACCATCTCTTATGTTGATCTGTTGCTTCTAGTTTTATGGTAGAAGAAATAAAAGAAAGACAAAAGCAAAAACACACATTGCCATTTATAAGGGTATTGGCAATCAAAGTGTGTGGGAAGTGGGTGGATGCATGTGGCTCAGGATCATGCTTTGTGGTAGTTTGTGGGGAAGGTATATGTTCGGCAGTGGACTCAAACAGGCTGAAATGATGATGATTGGCAATCATGAGCATTTCTATGTGGTAGTAGTGATGGAACATACAGCTCTTAACTATTTATTATGTGATATTTATATAATTTTCAACATTTCAGGCCTCGGGCGCTCTGTTCATCCTGGCTGTGTTCTTGTACATATTTCGCAAACCGGGCTTTATGCCCGGTTGGGCCGATGTCATCACCACAATGTAAGTAGGAAAATTGGTCACTTACCATCACTCTAATACCGACTCTCTGTCATAGAGACCTATATAGACAGATATAAGTACAATACCACCCAAAATTCGGGAACATTTTGTTTTTGTTTGTGTGTGTAACACAGTGCCTGTTATAAGGATCAAAGAAAGTAAGACCAGCATTTGTAATGCTCAGCATTTTGCTTTGTACCAGAGATTTGTAATAACTACTAACAATAACTACTATCTTGTCTCTTCTTTAAATTGCCTCAATGTGTGTTTTGTTTACATATATTTATGATGATGTTATTTTCTATATCTTTTTTTTATCTTATAGTGTTTATTATCTTAGCTTAGCTCTTTTCCTGTATTATTCAATAATGTTTTGTCATTACAGCTACTGTTACAATCATCAAACGTTGTTCTGTTCCGTTTTCAGGAAGGTGAAGGACGGCGTTACATCCATGTTCATTGTCGTGCTGATGTTCATCCTGCCGATGTCTATGGACTTCATCAAGTTCTTCTCCTCGTCCGCCTCGTGTGAGTGATTCGAGTTAATTTTTCAAATTGACAGAGCAAGTACTGGACACCCTTTTTAGAGCAAACATCCAAAGGGCTTATGATCGTACGCCCAAACACAAACTTTAGAACACTGATATTATGAATATAGTAAATATTTAACGAAGCGTTTTCACAGAACGTTCTCTATTCCCACACTTGAATTTTTTTTTGTATTCCCATTTTATGATATAAAAAATCATCACAATATATTCCAGTAGTGGGGATCTAACGCAACCCCTGGTGCGAAAGAAAAGAAAGACAGTTTTACTATCCACTACTCCTTACTCACAGGAGGAAAGGAAGTGTAAACACTATTACTTTACCCCATTCTTTTCATCTCGTCTCGCCTTTACAATATTAGAAGCTGTCAGTAAGAGTTTTAAAGTTTTTTAAAGTGCTAATCTCTGCACTTAAGATTGAAAATCAAAACATGTAGAAAAAGTACGAAAAGATTGTCGCCGCTGTGGGAATCGAACCCACGTCTTCGGCATTCGCGGCCTGACGCTCTAGCCACTGAGCTAAACGGCTGATAGCCACAGCGACGAAAATCTTAACGCCTTCTTTCTACATTGTTATTTAGCATTTGAAGCAATGCTTGGCGTATCTATTGTTATATCCTTTCCAGCATACAAACAATTTCGAATGTCGTTTTACAACGATAATTCGAACGAGAGATGTCGCCATTGCTTTTTATAAATTTTAAAGTTTTTTAAAGTGCTAATCTCTGCACTTAAGATTGAAAATCAAAACATGTAGAAAAAGTACGAGAGATTAGCACTTTAAAAAACTTTAAAATTTATAAAAAGCAATGGCGACATCTCTCGTTCGAATTATCGTTGTAAAACGACATTCGAAATTGTTTGTATGCTGGAAAGGATATAACAATAGATACGCCAAGCATTGCTTCAAATGCTAAATAACAATGTAGAAAGAAGGCGTTAAGATTTTCGTCGCTGTGGCTATCAGCCGTTTAGCTCAGTGGCTAGAGCGTCAGGCCGCGAATGCCGAAACGTGGGTTCGATTCCCACAGCGGCGACAATCTTTTCGTACTTTTTCTACATGTTTTGACTGTCAGTAAGAGGTAAGGCAATTTTAACCGGATACAACCGCAGACCAAATTACCTTTCCTTTCATACGGACGATTTTGGTTCCCCAGAAAATAATTACTTAAAATATCATATCTGCTGGGTGTCTCATTTTCACAATTCAGTGTGTTTAAACTTTCCGTTTATAGGAACAATCATGTTCCACCAGTTAAGAACAACTCGAGATATCACAGTTTCCGTGCGTACCTTCTTCCGTGCTTACAGTTAAGTAGTAATGTTACTGATGTTTCAGATGAAGAGCTGGCAGCCTCCAAACCGTCCTCTGGTGTCGTCACGTGGGGCATCTTGAAGGAGAAGATCCCGTGGGGCCTCTTGTTCCTATTGGGTGCGTACATGTTAATCTATTTTGACCCAAACATATATACAAAGGCGTATTTAATGACATTAGCATTATCTCTAATCAACCTTGGGGACGGCCAAGAGAATTGAGGTTGTTCCATCTTTCCAAAGTCGCTCCGGATGTTTTACGCTTAGATCTTTTAACGACGTAACGGATTTCAGTGCGGTTCTCGGTAATAGAGTGATTCAAGTGGAAGGTTTATGTGTAGTTTAGTTTAGAAGGCATATACATGTTAGCGCGCATACTACACACTAACGCACGCACACACGGAGGACTCGGCGGCCCGCTTTCGGGCGTCTCCGCACTTAACTCGCCGACCAGACGGCTTACGGCGACACGTGTAAAATTATCTTGCATTAAATTTTATACATTTTAAAGTTGAAGCTCATTATTTTTCAATAACGGACATCGCCAAGAACCTTCCTCCCCAATACATGCATATTATAGTAGAGAAACGCCGAGAAATTCAATATCTACATCGCACCCGTGAAGTCGGGGCGGTTCGCTAGTTAATTGTTATTGTAATTTTGTTTTATCTGTAATATATAACTTGTAATTAGTGATTAAACAAAAGGGATATATTGGAAGCGGAAACGGAAACAAAAATTAAAATAAAATTTATGCGGAAGTGTAACACAATAATACGCCTTTTTAATAAATTACATAATTTTATGGAAGGGAAGGGAATTTGGTTTTTTTAAAAGAAATCATGCCCGAAATATATCTTTAAAAAAATCAAATACAACTTCCAACAAAACGATTCCCATCAATTTATCGTAAACTATTTAACTGTATCGTTTTGTCTTCTATCACTTTCAACGATTTTGAGATATTTGAATTGGACGATATAATATGTTGTGTCCAGGCGGCGGCTTCGCGCTGGCGGAGGGCAGCAAGGCCACAGGCCTGTCGTCGATGGCGGGCTCGTCGCTCTCGTCGCTCAACGGGCTGCCACCGCCGCTGGTGCTGCTGGTGGTGGTGCTGGCGACGCAGTTCATCACCGAGTTCACGTCCAACGTGGCCATCGCCAACCTCATCCTGCCCGTGCTGGCGAACATGGTGGGTGCGAGCGGGACGGGACGAGCCGTTCTCGCGAACCGTCGGCCGTTTGATTTGTATTCTAAAATAGGATGCTTGTTGGGTCGTAGATGTAAACAGTGTTCTTTATCGCTCTACTAACCTACATAAGGTTACCTCGGGATCTTTTCCTTCATCGTTGAGCTGGTCAGCACTTAAAATTATCAATTTCTTTGCTTTATATGGAATTAAAAGCGACCGCCCGGACAATTAGCTATCACGGCTCATTATACCTTCTTCTTCTGAGGTGCCCTATCCTATCGGATTGGCTCATTATCAAATATATATACATACAGTATATACTTGTGAAAAATAATGAAAATGTGCTAATGACATGGTAAACAAAATTTTCACGTTGACAAGTGTTACCATTTTAAAGGATAGTCTATGGTTTATCAATGATTTTATAAACATTTGAGCTGTCTGTAGCGCAGACCACATTAATCGAAGTAATGTTGACCCTTTGCCCCGTTGCAGGCGCGCAGCCTGGGCATGGACCCGCGCTACCTGATGGTGCCGGCCACGCTGGCCTGCTCCATGGCCTTCCACATGCCGGTGGGCACGCCGCCCAACGCGATCGTCGCCGGCGTCGCCCACATACCCACCTCCAAGATGGTGACGCTTACTTGCTTTGGCCTGTCTTTTTTTATGTGAACACTCGACAATTGGGCTCCGGCCACATCACTCATAGGACAAAACGCGAAAGTATTATACTTCCACTTTACGCCGGTCTTCTGTGAGGTCGTGGTACTTACCCGGATGGGCCTGCCCATTCGTGCAACAGCCGAGGCTGCTGCGTGGCCCTACCACAGTGTCTGCATATTTGTGATATTGTTGTTACAACACACATTTTTTATAAGAACAAGTCTGCATGGATGCAGGCGGTTCAGCTGATTTTAAGTGCTAAAAGCTCTCCCACCACACCTTGTGGCTGATAATTATAAAATTGAAAATCCCTTGAAATGACTCCCTTGATACGTAGCTTAAGGTGGGAAAGTAGTCATGCACTGGCCATTTTAGAGATAAAAATCCTAGTTTAAAGTTTTCTATCTATCTATGTTTAAAGAGACCAAAATGCGAACTTTTGCACTTATGATGTTTGATGTATTAACGATAATATTTTACTATAAACATTTGGTTTATTTACGTTTTAGAAAAAGAAAAATAGAGTATTGTTTCAATACTCTATTTTTCTTCACAAACAAACAACAAAGTACAAACACCGGAAGCTGGATGTAAGCGGATGCTCGTGTGTACGACAATTGATGTGATCGACGATCAGCCTATGATTAAACTAACACACGCTTCAGGCGGTGGGCGGCATCGGGCCGAAGATCATCACGACGCTAATCATCTGGGGCGCGTACCCCACGTGGGGCTCGCTCATCTTCAAGGCGGAGGACATCAGCGCGCTGGGCTCTGCGGGGGCGAAGCCCGAGCCCGGCCTGAGGCTCTCCTGCGACGCCACGCCGGCCAGCCTGCTGCTGGCGCCCAGCTTCAACTGCACCGGCGGCTCGGCGCTGCCCAGCGGACTCATCAACTGCTCCTACACCCCGCTCGCCGAAAGCTAGCCGCCGATGACGAAAACTCATGGATGTCTCGAAAGTTTTAACTTTACATATCGATATTTCCAGCCAATATATTTTATATCTAGCATCGTGTCAGAAAACGATGTTTTTTTTTCAAATTCGAATCCGACACGATCTGTAGTTGTCGAATATTTTATAATACTTGGGTTTCTAGAGCTTAAAGAGAAAATATCGATATATCGAGGCCGATATTAATATCTTTGTAAATATCGATATATTTCTTCACTTTCGACGTCCTTAAACCAACTGTACCGCGCCAAAACGAGGGGCCGTCGCTTGCGCAGCCAACTGTACTCTAGGAGGCGGCTCGAACTCCACACCAACTGCGCTACAGGAGTGGTTGCTTAGCCGGTATGCGCCTATTACTTGGTGTTGACTGAACGTTACCAAGAGTTTTCGTCTACACTGACTTCTCGGCGCTGTCTAAACCACCCCGTTATCAGCTAACTTTACCTGGTGAGAGATAGCACCTCTTGGTGTTGATTGTACCTCTCCGACAGTTGGTACCTTGCAAATTTTACCAAAAGCTGGCGCACGCGTTTCGAGATACAGTCAGCATAGAGACATTGAACCGGGAGGTTTGTTGCGCCGACTGTACCTCGATTAGAGTCAACTTCGCGGCTCGTACTGTGCCTTGTGTACTGGATTAGACTTATTTGTCACCAAGCGGTGTGGTCAGTATACTATTTTTATTGTGTGACCATATATAAATTTTTATACCTTCATTTAAAATAGACGCAGCGTTTTACTACATATAGTTCACTGTCCATCTTAATAACCATTCCTTACTGCAGTTTTAATCTTGATTTGTAAATTTGTACAAATAATTTTTATATTTAATCTTAAATTTTTCTATATTTTTATATTTAATCTTTAAATCTTTAAAATTCAGGCGGACTTTGTATAGGTTTTTGAACATTGCATTTAAAAATATTGTATTAACAAAGAAATCTGCATTGAGCAATTGTTATATTTCTCAAATTGAATCTCAAGTAAAGGCCGTCTAATCCACTTAGCCATAACAGCTCTAAGAAATGATCTGTGCTTCTGAATCTTTTTTTATATCTAATACAACTGTCTGGATAGATAGAACTTGCTAACATAATAAATATTACTATTATTATTCTATCGGATAATAAAAAATCATCAAAACATTAAAGTCAAAATGTTCTTTATTCAACATAGGCCTTATTTAAAGCTGTTATTGAACGTCAAAAACTACATCGTATTGTATTAAATAGATCTTACTTGATTTCTGAACCGGAACTCACTGATCGCTTGGTGACATTGCCAAATGTGTCATACAGTATGCTATATATGTATTTATTTTTATATGCGGTACGTTTTTAGGATGTTAGCGGAACTAAGCGGGTGAGGACTTAATCTAATATTTAATTTAATAAATAGACCAATCTCGTTAATTTTAAAGCTGAATGGTTTTACCATTTGTGATATCTGTCTGTGGCATTTGAAGGCAATTATTTCCTAAAACCGGGACAGGTTTGTAAATTCCTCTTGGTTACAATTTTTCTTACATTCACAGATGAATCTATAATCTGTTTTTTTGTAAATTTACAAGTGAGCATTACCCCTTCATCTCTAGTGTTACCATTTCACTTTTGCTTTATCATGGTTTTTGTTCAAATGTTTGGTCAAATATATTCTAGTTTGAGGACAGATGTAGATTTATTTGTTAAAAATATGAGTGCGGTCATTTCTGCTGTTGTGATATAAAATCATGGTCTTTATTTAATTTTTCGAATAAAGTGCCTTGTTTGGTGGAAATATTTGTTTCATATAAGTATAGGACTGCAGATGTATGTAATCTTTCATTATATATATATATTGAATATAAGAATATTGATATACGTAAATTTATCCATGTATTGTATATGTCAAATTATATATTATACATTCATAAGATTAGATTTTTCAAACCTATTGTTTCTTTATCATTATTGTGTCGTTGGCGATATCATATGGACCGCCAACTGCCTTAAAATTAAAGCAACCCAACACAATATGGCTATTCGAGAAATAGTTGATCAGTTTTTAAAGAAAATTTTAAAAAAATAACTTATTTTTGAATGATAACTACATTATAATGCAAATGCAGTCCTATTATTATGTGAAACAATACTGGAATAAATTTTTAAGATAGATTTGTATTGATATAATGAAATTGTTCCGGAGCTGATTATTTTTTGGATGTGTTTACTTCAGTCATCAAATATATATATAAATAAATATATAATATATATATATATATTTTCTACATGTTTTAATATAAGACAGTGGTCCACTGCTGGCCATAAAGCCTTTTTGCGTGGGGTGTTCCTGTTTTTTTAACAATAGCATGTCAAAAATTAGGTAAGGCATATATCACTAAATATTTATTTATTTCCGGTGTGGTGTATCCCCGTCCCTGGTCTCCGGTGTATGGTATGGTCATGTATGTGTGAATTTAAATGATGCCGCAAGTTTACCAGCGCGTTTTGCAGTCTCATTAGGCATTTATCAATACCCATTTGTGCAAACAGGTTAGGTTTTAGATATCACTAAGACATTAATTGATAAACTTGAACGAGTTTAGTTGATCATTAATATATTAAACTTTAACAGATTTGGCTTTTTGATGCTTTTTGTATCTCTTATTCATTCTAACTTTTTGAGTCGATCTAATTTTCTTTAAGCGAGCTTATTAAATAAATGAATCTTGTATAAATTCTTTAAGTTGGAAAATCATTGTTATATATTTAAGGGGTTAATATTAAGTACATGTCATACTATTTTTGTATTTGGCAAAATCCATATTCCATGCGTTCTTCACAGCGATCGTAAAAACACGCCATTTGTTTTTGCATAGTCTGCCCACCCACTGGGGCAGGCGGAGACTATGCATTTTTGATACGAATACTATTTAGGTACACCACCTTTAATACCTTGAACGTAACACTGTCGTTTTAAGGACCATAGCATAATTGTAGCCAAAAATATTCGGTAATTCAAATGATGTCGATAAATGTCTACATGACAGACAAGCGTTTCGTCAAAGCGTTGACATAGTGCAAATTAGATTAAATAGTCTCTAAGGTATGTGTCAATATTTTGGAAGATATATTTTTTTATTCATATACCGACGTGGGATCAACGGTTGTCCGTCATTTGTAACATTTGGTTTCGTCTATTGCGTGTATAAGGAAGTATTTGTAATAAAAGCGTTCAAATTTCTAACTGTCGTTTTAATTACCCTATAACGGAGTATTATCGCTTTCATTGTGTTCGCTGTCTTAAACGAAATCTCTGAACGGATCTCGAAAAATGTAGTAGTAGGTAATGAACTTAAGCTGTCTGGAAGTAGCTTCGAGTTGGTTAAAAAAAAATCTTACATGCAAAATTTTGACCAAATCAAAAAATCAAAATCAAATGTCTTTATTAAAACATAGGAGCATTACACTCACTTATTCATAGTCAAAACACTACCACCGGTTCGGAAAAGAAAGCCACTGTACTGAGAAGAACCGGCGAAAGAAACTCCGCGGGCTTTTTTTTTTAAAATAGCAGTTTGACATAAATTCATTAAAAATACAATATAAGAACTCCGATTGAAAGAGCCTGGAGCGATCAGATCATTACCAGAGTGTGTTATCATTTAAATAATCATTAATATTATAGTAGTCTTAACGTATACATTGTCCCATAAAAGATTACGTATTTTACGCAGTGTACTTGTGGGTAGGATCAATTTATTTTTGTTCCTAGTATTTATATATGACAGACGGATTGTTTGTTAACTAAAGTAGTAAAGTTACTAAGCCAAGTGGGTGGTAGGGTCACGCAGATGCTTTCGTTGTTGCACGTATAGGCAGCTCTAGGGCAGTACCGCGATCTCACCAGAAGACCGGGTCGAAGTGGAAGAATTATACTTTCGCGTTTCGTCTGGTGAGTGGGTAACGTTGGCCCAATTTTATACAGGTTGGCAATGCATCCGCAACAACTTTGATGCAGTATATGATGATGGGTGGCGGTCAATCACTTAACAGAAAATACATTTATTTACCAAAAAGGACGCATACAAAAAAAAACTGAAATTAACAAAAAAATAAAAGACATAAAAAAAATACTTATAAATAATTCAGTAAAGCGAAACAACACAAGTACATAATTAAAATATAAAAAAATGAAAAAGAACTAACAAACCATAAATATTGTACGCCCTATTACGGTAAATTAGGTCAGCAGCACAGTATTATGCTATGCCGGAAGTCAAGGCCCCAACACAGCGCTGATTTTCAGTGCTGACCTTCTAGCTTCGTAATACTTCGATGCATTACTGACCAGAGACATAATACTAATACCAATTATTATTTAACTTATTAAAATTAATTGTACAACAAAAGAAAGTTAAAATATTACAATAGGTGAGCTAGTTTGATAGCTTGTACCATAAAAAAAACGTTCGTACATCTTCTGTTGTAGGTACTGAGTGCGTAATGAAATACTGTGATCGTTTCTTGTTTTAGATGTTTTATCTTATTCACAAGCATCATATAAGCATTTTATGATATGAGCGTCACTGGCGGTCCATCGCATTAACCTGGGCCCACAGCGGGAACATGTTAAATTCTGTCCATATCGCTTTCGACCAGACGGTCACCGTGAACCATATTATCATAACGGATACAATTTTCAGTGGCACACCGGCGCGTAACTGAAAATAAAGTAAAGAAATTAAATTGTCGGCCCATACATGTCCCACTGCTGGGAAAAGACCTCCTCTGTGCAGAGGGTATCAGGGTATGGTCCACCACGCGACCCCACTGCGGATTGGCGGACTTCACATACCTTCGAAATATTTTTTTTGTTATTATTTCGAAAGCCATGCCTTGGCCTCTGCGCCACGGAGTCATCCATGAAAGGAATTCGGCATAGCCGAAGGCCGGGAGTCGGACTCGCGAACGCGCCTGTTTCTTCTCCGTTAGAGGAACCTCATTACGAAACGATGGTAGATTTAAAAAATGACTATCGTTAAATGAAATGTATATTTCTTATTTCGATGAATAAATTATTTGAATTTTGAATTTGAAGGGTTCCGAACCATACGCATAAAAAAGGCGAAAAAATAATGTCTGTTGTATGGGAGCCCCAATTAAATATCTTTTTTATTCTGTTCTTTAGTATTTGTTGTTATAGAGGCAACGGAAATACATCATCTAAAAATTATCTAAATTTCAACTGTCTAACTACCACGGTTTATTAGATACAGCCTGGTGACACATGACAGATAGACAGACGGACAGACAGCGGGGTAGACTCCGGTAACTTTACTCCGCTTACTAAGAAGTAATAGGGTCCCGTTTTATGCACTGGGAATGGAACCCAAAAAAGATTAAGTAGACACCAATAATTAGCCTCACCATGTTCCTGGGCGGTATGTTGACGTATGCCAACACCATGGCGTTAGCTGGTGTTCCAGTCATGACGAGGAACGGCAGAGACGTGGAAAGCGTTGCGGCCAGCATTAGATAGTGGGGATTCACTTTCGACATTACAGACTAAAACATAATTTCGATTATTTTACGTAAACTATGTGTAAGAGATGGCTAAGTGGGCAGGAAATTGGATTTGAGATTCCCTTTTTTTAGATTTCGCCGCATACCATGTCTCATTTTAGATTGGGAGAAATCATTATTTCATACTAATGGCTGGTTCGGTGCAGTTGGTAATTTATTGGCTGCGATGTTGCAGCTTTTACGTTCAATTACACCAATTGAAAGTCCTTTTGCCACTAGAAACCTTACCCATACGCGACAATTAGCGCGACCAACAGATAGATTTCCGGATTTGGATGTTTATTGCCACGGAGGGTTGACGTTAGGGGGAGAGATGGTAGTAAAAAACTCTAAGTTTTTTTACTACCACTAAAGTGTTGTGGTGTGCCGACCGCGAATCCATAAGGGTTGTAATTCAGTTAAAAGAGGGCCTTATGGGTCTCACATTGGTGAAAATCTTCGGCGTTCAGCAATGATTGCACATACTTATATTTATGTAAATAAATATTATTTATATGATTAACCTTTATAGCTGTCTTAAGAGCGTAGAAAGTTAATTAAAATTCTCTCCTTAGACTAACCACTTTAGCAATATTAGGTAATAAAACGTGAGCGACACACGAATTGCTCGCATATTCCGTGAGGGTTTTGCAGAACAACACGACGGCGAGCACCTGGGCCGCCGGGGGCCAGCCGGAGAACAGCAGCAGGAAGCCCTCGAACTCTTTCGTCATCTTAGACAGTTTCAATGCTTCGAAGATCGTGTTACTTCCACCTAAAGATTTGTAAATCACTCACTCGTAACATCAGTTTAGCCGCCTACTCGTTTGCCATCTTTTGCCTTGACGTTCGTCGTAAAAGCATCCAAGAAATAACTAACCAGAACTAGCGAAGACAGTGATACAAAGACCGTATTTATTTTGTATAGAACCTTGTAGTTGTATATATTGGAAATAAAGTAATAGCGTAGTCACAAGCCTTGTCTACTCCGATGGTATGTAAAAATAAGTAAACTTAAAAAAGTTTCCATAACTTACCGATGACGAAGAGTACACTCCACGGTATGTTCACTTTCACGAGGTCCCAGTGGAGACACGTCTTAGTTGGCCTATTCGGCAGACGTGCTGATATATCTGATTTATAAAACGAATATGAGTGAATACACATAATGTGTTATCACTAATCACACCTTTTTATGTGACAAAGTGGCAAACGAGCTGGCGGTTCACCTGATGTTAAGTGATAACCGCCCCCCATGGACATTTGTGCAACAGCGAATACTGTTGCGTGGCCCTATCACAGTTAAACCTTGTGTTTATTCAATAAAAAGAGATAACAAATCGATTCGAACGAATAAAGATTGTCAGATCTAAATGTTCATATGTAACGTTAACTTAACTTTTATTAAAGTAAAGTAACAGCCTATACATGTCCCGCTGCTGGGTATAGGCCTCCTATATACAGAGGGTATCAGGGCATAGTCCACCACGCGGCCCCACTGCGGATTGGCGGACTTTTATTAACCGACTTCAAAAAGGTGGAGGTTACCAAATCGGATGTTTATATGTTTTTTATGTATGTTCGGCTATAACTCGGTTATATACAGACGCAATTGTAAAATTCTTTGTTCGAAAATATTTAACAATTTTTGCAGTCGGTGCCATTGTTCACTATGGGTAATGCGTTTTTGCAAAAAAATTAGATATCTTTTTAGTTACAACGATAATACAGAGAATTTACAATTCTTTTTGGATCTCATCCAGTTTGTGGGGCTTACCGGAACGTCTTTTGAAGAATCTCAGAAAATCCAAATTGACTGGCATTATGAACAGCAGTGTCACACACAGTACAGACGGAGCTGACAGCTTGATGTGGCTGCGATAGAAATAACTAGATTCAAACAATTATTTTCTTACTCTATTAAAAAAAATTTGTTTTTTGTCTTAGTTCAGCTAACTTTTCGTTTTCATATTATGGATTATGAACAGATGCATTTTGAGTGTGTTGATGTCAGCTGAAGGCTGTGGAAGCCAGCACTCTACATTCCGCGGCTTCAACAGCCGTTCACTGTGCTCATTAAAAAAAAGTGTGTTTACACGCGTTAGAAGAAATACTTCTTTGGCGTAACAAGATAAATTCCAAATTTTAAATTGTTTATAGTGCTAATCTTTGCACTTAAGATTGAACATTAAAATATGTAGAAAAAGTGCGAAAAGATTGTCGCCGCTGTGGGAATCGATTCCCACAGCGGCGACAATCTTTTCGCACTTTTTCTACATATTTTAAGATAAATTCCTTTCGCTTTATTCTACGTTTGTAGAAAATACGACACTAACAATAGAAAAAAGGTATTTAATACATTGAAAGATTTAAATAAAGTTTATTAAAATACCTATCACAAAATAAATATCGTGAATACAGTTGTCAATTAAAAAGTCAAAAAAAAATTAAAAACCCGTGGGTTCTGCGTCAGATGAAGCTTTAATAGTCTCGGGACTGAAAGCGCAAACATCAGTTAATACAAGACACAAGAATTCTTTTGGCGAATAAGAAATTCGAAGAATTGCAACTCGGATAAAGAAAACGTCCAAAATACCTCATGAACGTTTCATGTTTCGTGTAGTCCGTTAGCAAAGAGCTACTGATCACCTGCAAGATCATCGTCAGAAGCACAAATGTGGATACAATCTGAAAAAGGCAGTCGGCAGTTAATCTTCACGCGTCATACTTACTGCTGCTATTATACGAGTAAGTTCACAAGTGTTTAATGATCATATATTTTTTCACGGAGATAAGTTTTTTAAACTAAATAAAAATGGACGAGTATTACGCGGGGTCGTGCCACCTCTGAATTTTTATAAAGGGAACCAGTTAACCCTAGTTCAATATAATTGAGTCGGAAGGTCAACTGGTGTTAAGCAAGGTATATCAGAATAAACAGATTGATTTCAAGCAGTTAATGTGTGTAATTTACCACAAATCTGACAATGTTACTATCTATACATACTACATACATACATACAGATAAAATAAAATTGGAGTGTCTTTTTGTAATAATAAAATAACCGCTTTTAATAAATGCATATGGATGTATAAACAGTATATATATACCAAAAAATTTTTTTTTACAATTATTGTCTGTTTGTTTCGGCTAATCTCAGAAACGATTGGACCGATTTTGACGCGAATTTCACTGGCAGATAGCTGATGTAATAAGGAGTTACTTGGGCTACTTTTATTTCAGAAATTTTATTTATTTTAAATTCCAGGCGGACATAGTTGCAGGCGCAGCTAGTTGGACATATAGCAAACAGTAAACATTAATTTCAGGTCGTTAACAAAATACAGGAACTAACTGTTTCGTGGAAGGTGACTCGACCCAACTGCTGACACCTTGCGGAGAGGAGAGTGTTTATGTACTGAGACTCCTCCTCTGTCATGCCCATTTGCAATGGTGCGTCATAATACGACCTGTTCAACGACAAAAATGCAATTTTACATATATTACGTCGGTTCATGTGTAGAGCTGTTCTAGAGCGAATCGAAATTATTTCATGAAAAAATCTTAGGAAGTTGATATATACGGCAAACACGTGAGTCTGTCCAGTAACTGGATACTGTAAACCCTTTCAAAAATCTGGGAAAAACGGAAAAAGAAAAGAAAAAAAAAGTTTTTCTAAGAAAATTACTGACAACATTTAATGAAAAAAATATTTTATATTAATTGACATAATTTCATTTGCAAAATAATAGGTATCTAATAGAATGAAAAGTAAATAGACGATGCCAACGTTACGCCGCTATTACCTGAACATGCCCAAGAAATAAAAGTTCAACCACAAATAGACCAGGGTCTGCATGAGAAGTACACCAGGCAAGTTCAGCAGCATGAAGTGAGGGAACTCGATTCTGGGTCCGAGTGGAAATGTCCTAAAAATGAATATTGGTACCTTTAATACTAATTCTTTTTAAACAAAATAACATGCCCAACCTAATTGTATCACATTATAGCGTTATTATATCACATTATAGCGTTACTGACGAAGAAACTTAAGTAAAGTATTTGTCACAAAATTCCGAGACAAAATAAGATTTCGTATTCATAACATGTGCCTTATTAAATTAAACAAGTATTTGAACGGACATATCGCCTTTATTGTACGCAAATATTTCAAATTTAGTAACTAATATAAATTATTCACTTCACTAAAAAAATAAAAAAAATTAACAACCGCGATACTTAAGATCTCCAACGTTCTAGTCCGTCCCATGAATGAGAATGCTGCGATTTACTCGAAACCGACATTAGAATTTAAGTTTAAATTAAACACGACAAAACTTAATAATAGTTTCATTTAATGTATTATAGTCTTCGCGTACGTATAAGAATTTGTTGAATACATACGTCTCGCAGATTGTCTTGAATATTTGATTCGTTGTGCTCCCAAGAAATGTCGCCATACCACCTGAGCATCGGCATATTAGAGTTGGAGAACATTCAAAAAGAAATTCAGCATTGGACTACTGTTTTTAAGATATCAGATATGTCATTAGAAATATAGGTGTTCCTGGCTTGTTTACGACCCTTTTAATGTTGAAACACGTAGATTTTGAGGTACATTCAATTAGAGACCATTCAAAAGTGTAATACCTACTTACTTAATATATTTTACATAATTGGGTCGTTGCTAATCTAATAAGATTCATTTATTACGTGATTTTATTTGAAACTAGTTAGCCCGATGGGTATCATTCTGTTCAAATTCTGATTAAATTATTTGTAAGCGGCAACTTACTGGAAATTTGTATACAAGTAAAAATGAGGAAAATGTATTTCTGCAGTAGTTTATGGACACAAATAGGCTGAAATGATGATGATTATGATTGTCATTGTTGAATTTGAAGTTAAAATTACACTCTTTTGTATTAATTTACGGAGCCTTTTACAAATCGTGTTTATTTATCCGTATAAAAATTATATATAATATTATAAATCCGTAAAATTAGTTTCATTTATAATGTGTAATCGCGTAAATACAAGATTTTATTATGATTATGATTATCATTGTTGAATTTGAAGCTAAAATTACACTCTTTTGTATTAATTTCCTTTTTATTCAAAAATTTAGTTTAAATATCAGGGCCTTTGTACAAATTCTTTCACGTATTTAAACAAGACGGAGAGAGGATACAGAAATATAAATATTTTTTACAGATTATCAGTATTTTCATATTATTCCGTATATTATAATTAACAAAAGAAAAATACATATCCATCGCTGAAATCGTTATTTAAGAGACATTTTTGTCATACGTTTGCTGCCAAAAATCATCGCGTATTAGCAGAAATCTTACCTATCGAAGAAGAATATGCTATTCCCAAGAAGTAGAATGACGTGAAAACAGAAGGCTTGTGCGAGAGAGATAGATTTCTTGTTTTATCAATTAACTCGTACATTTCTATGATTCCAAGCTGCAATAAAGATGAATTTCTTTATCGTAATCTATACATCAATACAGATTAATAAAACTGGTGTCTGTTTGTAATATTAAAATAACCGTTTTTACTAAATGCATATGAATGTATACATGGTACATATACCAATATAACATTAATACAATTTTTGTCTGTCTGTCTGTCTGTTTGAGAAAAGAAAACCCAAAAAAAAGGTGATGCGATCAAACGCAATCCATACTGTTCGGCGAATTCCAATCTGGTATATTAGTAGTGTCTGTGGTTCTGACTGCTTCGTAATTTTTATGTTTTGCCAGATTTCTTATTTCTCTTGATTCTTGCTTTCCTTTTTAAACATTACCCTTACTATAAGTTACGAGAACATTTTTACATAGAGATATTTCTACAAATACAAATATACTATCACCTGGGTCCCGAACAAATATGTATGTCAAATAAATTCTCCTCTCGTATTGCCAACGAACCCCAGACGACGGTGCCGATTTTAACCAGTGTCGCGTCAACTGATATAACAAACTATCTAAGCTCGTAGTCATCAAGCCAACCAACCTTTTCCAATTCAAAAAGAATGGCTTTCACCAAAGGAATCATTAAGCCACACGCTATGACACTCGACATCCACATCGAGACAAACATGGTACTGAAGAATAGCAGGAAGCTTATTCTAAAAATTTAAAATCAGCGTTTTGAATTAACTCAATATGCACCTATAGCAAAAACGGACGAAAAGTTTTTTCGCCACTGCAAGAACCTCTGGCCCGCTATCGTGGCTCGATATTTACATAATTTGTGATAATTCAAAAACAAAAAAATTGGCACAACAGACTTACTAGAGAAGGAGAAATAAATTACCGATAGTGGGAGCAGCCGAAGAGAAGAAATATTTTCAAGGCGGCTCTTCTATGAGCGTTACTATGTTCAATGGCAACAATTAACATCATCACACCCAAACAGTCCAACAAAGATTTGGTTACGTAAATCTGTCGAGCCACTAGAAGTCAGTCAGATCTCATTGAAAGAGTTTGTAATTAAAATATCAGGTTAAATACTTCAGCGCAAGAAAGGTTATGGGCGCGACCGGTATCCTTAAATAAAGTGGGTCCCGGCTACCTCACTCACCACACGAAACGCAGAAGCGTAGCACCTCTACTTCATGCCGGTCTTCTGTGAGGTCGTAGTACTAACTCGGACGGACCACCCATTCGTGCAACAGCGAACACTAATACGTGGCCATACCAAAGTTAAATTACGAAACTTTCTTTAAACTACGAAACACTGTATGTAAACAAATTCGTGACAATAATAAATAATACCCGCTAGTTAAATAAATCTCATGTACAACCGATGTAATTATTTCAACGCCAAAGAATGCGAAAAGAGATGATAGCGCTAGTGAAGCCAGAGCGATCACGGCTGGATGTGTGGCATCCGTGGTCCAGTAGACGGCCGTCACCAGAAAAACGTAGAAGCAAGGATAGGCCTGCAATAAAATATTTCAATGAAACTATTATGGAACCCTACTCACTGCTTTTTAAAGCAAATTTTCATAAAATGTGCTATGCTTTCGAAAGATCCCTACTGCAATCATATCCGTAAATATGTATACACTATCGAACTTTTGTCTTTAGTAATATTTTTTTCTTTTGTAACTTTACATATAAAGTGAATTTAGTATAAAGAGCTGTAAGGTCTTATAGACCGTACAGCTCTCTAGCTGTAGGTCTTGCAACTCTGGATTTCAAACACTTTTAAGGTGACGGAAATGTCTATTCACGTTAGCAAGGGAAGGCTATGTTGAACTCGCACCGACTAGAACATCCAGGGCGCATAATGACAGGGTTACATGAACGCTTCCACATTGTTCCGCAACCGCCTCACCGCCAGTAGCTGCCTCAGCAACCCCTCGACCCCTTCTCTTCCAGGTAAGGAGTGTTGTAACATAAAGCGTGCCTTCATACTTGGCCTGCCTTTTACGGGTAACCGATTCCAAGCCCGAGCCATCCAGAAGACATTGGAGCCGGGAGAGCCGCTGCTAACAAGCAGCAAGCATCCAGGCCTCCAGCGGAGGCCCTTTCCGCGGCCCCACCACTACTGCACCGATACAGGGGATACAAGGCAGTACAGTCCCGCCGACTCACAGCGATAGGGACAGCGGCAAACGACACTGATTTTCCTCTACGACTCCACCTTAACTTTCTAAAACCCTCAACCTGTCCCCCGCACCCTCTCAACACGTATTCAGCGTGGTCTCAAGGAGCCCACTCGGCCACAGGCCGGCCTTGTGTAGACTCCTCTTGACTTCACCGTGGGTGATCAAACCGCGGCTACTGCTAAGCCCCTCCGCGAAGACGAGGCGGGAAACCAGCCGGAGTGGCCTCTTAAAACGCCAAGCAGTTACGATCGCCGTACACCCCATGCGTGACAATTGTACCCCATGCGATTAGCACTATAAAAAAATATGACAATTGTCTCTCAATTGTTTGTATGCTGGAAAGGATATAACAAAATGCGCCCATGCTTCAAATGCTAAATAACAATGTAGGCGTTAAGATTTTTCACTGTGGCTATCAGCCGTTTAGCTCAGTGGCTAGAGCGTCACAAATAAACGTGGGTTCGATTCCCACAGCGGCGACAATCTTTTCGTACTTTTTCTACATGTTTTAATATCCATGTTAATTATTCACAACTTACAAATAAACTTACTCTTCATACACGTTTTATGTTTTATAAATGTAGATCATGTTGATCCATTCTTCGATCTCAGCGCCATCTGCGTTTTTATTCAATAGCCCGGTTTCTACATATTCTTCAAAAGCAATCCGCAGATAAACGACCCGTGAACTTAGTAGAACAAAGTAGCTGGTGCACGACGGCGACACGATGATGGCATTTGCTCCGCTACATCTCGATCTCTTAGCGAAAGACTGAAAATTCGCCTAAAAAGGCATGACACGAGCCAAGGGCTTTGATCCTCGGCTAAACTGCTAGTCATTCTATACTATTGGAATTCTACAGAGTTGCAAGACCCGTGTATGAGACTTTGGCAGTAGCACATGTTACTCACGTCATTACTTCCAATAAAATATACGGGTAACAACACTATTGGAGTTGCTATGAATAAAATAATTTTCCAGTACATTTTGCAAAATATCCATAGCTTGGTTTTATGTGTAATAGTAACAAAATTTGCTTCACTGAAAAAAGAATAATTTCATGGTTAATGTTAGTTAAAGTATGAATATGTAAGTTTTAATTATTTACTCCATACATACGAAGTATTTAAGTCCATTTTAATACATATTTAGTAAAGACAAATGTCAATTTCACATCTTGTGCCGACAAATCTTGTAGGCTGATAATAAACGTTTGAATGAATTAAATGGCTTGATTTAATAAACAACTGTTTTATAATAACCGAAGATTTAGGGAATAATAAAATCATATTTGATTCTTATGACACCGTTAAGCGGGTTTGTTTAATTGCGGGTTACAAATTATTCAAGTTGCATTATTTACACGCGACAATCTTGTATGGAGATAAGTAAAATGATCAGTGGACAACGACAGTTCAAAAGCCAGCTTCGGCCGTGGTAGGTTCATCAGCTCCTGCTGTCTCACGAATGGCACGAATGGGCAAGCTAGTCCGAAAAAGTACCATGACTTTACAGAAGACCACCGTGGATATAATACTTTCGCGTTTCGCCTGGTGAGTGAGGTAACCAGGTTATTGTTAACCCTAAATGTTTCACTCGCATTTATTCTGATGTCTTTTTCTTTTCATAATTCCATCTCCTTTTCTTCGAAACTTTTTCTTCGAAATTGAAATCTCGTTCAGCTCCGAAGAATGAATTTGAATTTGAACTTTCACTTACCGCCGTTTCCAGTTTTTTCAAATTCAGAAGTATTCCCATCGCTTCTTGTCGCTTTACTAACTTTACAGGAAATAACAAAAATTGTTCGAAAGTTGCGGCCAGAGGATAAATGCAAAAGTTAGATTACTATGAAATCTACTGAAGATTTCGTAAATTGCCAGATACATTAGGTAGTTTTTTGGTTTAAACTAAAAAACTAGCAAAAAAACTGTACCTAAAAACTGTACCTATCTAAAAATTTTAACTAATTGATCTATTAACTTATCTTTCCCCACTTTTTTATTATTTATAAGCCCACTTCAATATTTTTTTTATTCTGGTTTTTAGTATTTGATGTTATAGCGGCAAGAAAAATACATCATCTGGTGACAGAGGACAAACAGACAAAAAGACAGTGCAGTCTTAGTAATAGGCTCCCGTTTTACCCTTTGTGTACGGAATCATAAAAAGTATGGTTATGGCCAAGAGATCATTGGCAAAAAGACCGGCATCTAAGCATTAAAAATTATTTTAAGTGGTTGGTTATTCGACATCGATCAAACATTTTTGAAAAACTTCGACTTACTTCAGTTACAGTTATTCAGTTGTCATTTTGTTGTTATTGTGTCAAGTTGTGTCACCTTTGATTATTTTGTATCGTGCAAAATTACGACGTTATTTGATATAATAAATTTAAAGCAATGCCTGTGGAGTTGGAGTACGATTATAATGCTGCTACGAAAACAATGGACACATTTTCACAAGATGACATCGATCTTTTACAAGAATGGACTCAAAAATTGGACAAATCGAAATATGTGCCTAAAGATTTAACAAATAAACAACTTCTGCTCTTTTATAATGCTTGCTATGGAAATTTAGACAAAACTAAAACATGTATAGAAAAATATTATTCATTTAGAAAAAATGCACCGGAATTTTTTGACGGCCGCGTTATAAATTCCGAGGAATTGAAGCCCAGCGTTGAAGCATTGTAAGTACAAGTTTTTCTTTTTTTTTTTTGCAAATATGCCATAATTCTTTACTATAAAATTTACTTACAAATATCATTATTTAATTTTATTTCGAAACTTTTTTCTTGAATATGTTTAACATTAAAACAGATTTAAAATATTGAAGTAAATCACTAGCTGTGTCTGCGACTTCGTCCGCGTGAAATTTAAAATAAATCAAATTTCTAAATTAAAAGCAGCCTTAGTTTCTTCTTATTACATCAGCTATCTACCAGTGAAAGTCCCGTCAAAATTGGTAGAGCCATTTCAGAGATTAGCAGGAACAAACAGAAAGAAACAAAAATTGAAAAAAATGTTTTTTTGGTATATGTACATACCTACATTTAGTAAAAAGTGTTTTTTTTTTTAATATTACAAACAGACACTCCAATTTTATTTATCTGTATGGATGAAAATTTAATCCTTATTAATATAACCACAATATAAAAGTTACAGCCCACACAATGTGGTTTCATTATGCAAAAGCTCAATATAGAATATTAAATATATAGCACTAGCGACTGCCCGCAACTATGTCTGCATAGAATTGGCTTAATGCTTAACATTGAGACAGAAAGACAGATATACATAAAATATGTATATAAATTATAGCCTATGTCTTATTCTGATGCATAAGCTATATTATTGTAAAGTTTCTTTAAAATCCATTCAGTAGTATTTACGTGAAACAGTAACAAACATCCAACCATACATACAAACTTTCACATTTATAATATTATAATAGTAAGGATTGTATTAGGACCAAATTGAATGATTTCAAACAGTTCACATGTTGCAAAGTACGAAGAGGCAATGGTAATCTAGTTTTTGGGGGTATGATTTGGGATTTCGGAACACAGTTTAGAGACCTGGTCAATCGAAATCATGAAAATTCTAGAAAAAGCTTTTTACCAACTGTAGAGTGACATGACACCAGTCACATTTTAGGATTTAATAATTGTATTGGAAAATTTATGTTACTTGTTATCTCTGTCTTTTTGATTAGGGTCAAACATATGAGCGATTGTATCATTATTCTTTAATAAATTTCTTTATAAGGGTTCAGTACCCAAAGGGTCAAATGGGAACCTGTTACTAAGACTGTATATGTATGTATTTCATGAACATGATACAGTTGCAATTTTCACAGATGATGTATTTCTGTTGTCACTAAGAAAATATTTTATTGGGGCCCCCATACAACAGCCATGATTATTTTTTCTGTTTTTATAGATAATGATAAGGGTCCCTTAATGTGCGAATCAGACTCCCACTTGGCCGGTTTTTATAGGATAGTCCAATATAAGACAAAGTTCAATATAAAATAAAAAATATTAAGCAAAATAATAGGAAACTTTTCCTACTATTAATTTAATATTAAATACATTGGAAAGAAACCTACATAAAATTTTAAGAAATCATTAATAATAAAACAATTTGAAGATACATGAAGTCTGCTAATATGCCCTAACGATGCTGGGTTATTCCCAGTTTTATGGAAGCCCAAGTTCAGCTATGGGAAATATGTATAGGTTGCTTTTTTACTTCGCAAAGTTTGCCTCACAGCTCATGTTCTTGTTAATTAAAATGTTTATCTCATACAATTTTTCATTAAGTTTCATTTTTAGGGTTCCATACCCAAAGGGTAAAATGCCCATTACTAAGATTCTGCTGTCTTTCCGTCTGTCACCAGATTATATCTCATGAACCATGATAGCTAGATAGTTGAAGTTTTCACAGATGATGTATTTCTGTTGCCACTATAACAGAAAATGCTAAAAAACAGAATAAAAAAAATATCTAAGATGGGCTCCCACACAAACACGATTTTTTTGTCGTTTCTATAAAGGTACGGAATCCTTCGTTTTTTACAGTTTTTTGCAATCGAGTGCGAGCGGAAATGAGACGAGTATTTGAACCGATGTTGTTGGTGAACTTCTAAATCATTTGCCATTTGTTATCGTGTGCCGTTTGCAAGATATATATTAAGTAAAACCAGCCGCCTCTTAACATATTAAACACTGCCTCATTTAGTACCACCGGCACTTGCAAAAAAAACACAAATGTTTCATTTGTAATATCACAAGATAATTATTCACGTGCAAGAACTAAGTGCTTACGTGACCTCTAGTTTTGCCTTCATTCCGTACCGGATTCCGTAGAGCTATGACTACTATTGATCAGTGTTGAAGGAGAAACAAGGTTGTTTGGGTTCCGCAATCCTGTCCTTTAGTGTTTTATCTATCAATCTTATATCGGAAGACATCTTGACCTGCCTTCTATGGGGAGGACAGAGTTATGTCTTATTCCTAACCACTAACACTCTCTCGGAGGCTGCCGTTAGTATTTCGGCAGGGGTTGACGGAGCCCGTATGTCGCACGGAATCCTCACCGGGTTTTAATTTGGAAAATTGTTGTGAACTAACGTTCAAATATACAAGTTCTTCCCTTCTTTTCACCATCAGAGGTCAGCGTCGCTTTTTTTTATGAAAAGTTGGCAAGCGAGCAGACGTTACATTCCATCAGATGTTAATTGCCGCCGCCCGTGTGTTCTAGATGTCCATCTAGAACACCTAATACACGAATGTTCTGCCAACATTTAAAAAAAAACTGGGCCCCGAAACGCGAAAGTATAATCGACTTCGAATTCGCGTCGGTCTATCTTGTATCGTGTATTAACTGATGTTTTTGCTTTCAGTCCCGAGACTATTAAAGCTTCATCTGACGCAGAACCGGTAGGCTAGCCAGAACCCACGGGTTTGGGCCCTCCGCTGTGGGTAGGGCCGCGCATGTGCTCATGCGTGCGTTTAACTATGGTATGTCATCTAAGGGCCATCGAGGTTGCGGTTCGGACCGGGATCCCGATGGCCGTCGACAGCGTTTTTAGCTAATCAGTGGCTGGGGGCGGTGAGAACCGCCCTGGAACGCGGGCTGTAAGGGTGGTACTTTTGCGTGCGAGTCCGATTGCACAATCGGAAGTTGTTTCATGGACCGACCACAGCTTAGATTTGCGGTCCATTTGTTTACGTCTTATTCATTCGGCATATAATTGGTGTTTTTGTGAACACTACATAGCCACGGAATACAGCGCGGAGGTTACCTTGACTGAACCACCTTTATGCTGAGTCGGGTAACTTTTTAGTGAACAGTTGAGTTGCATTTCTTTTGTATTTTGGTCAGTTACTCAACATTTTTCTTCGTTATTCATTCTTCTGCATGGGTGTAATCGAAAAAAAAAAACATCGATGTATATTTTGGAGTTGAATACGGTAACATAAAAGTACCTATATGATTTATCTATTGTGCTAGGTACATAACGGCAACTGATGTCTCATCCGTGAATTAATAAAAATAAACCTGATGACGATTCCAAAATACGACCGCGTGGAACCTCTAACTTGAAAGAGCATGAGGCTAAGGCGGACTATGGATAATTGTCAGCATTCAGCCTGTTTGAATCCACTGCTGAACATAGGCCTCCCCAACTGACTGCCACGAATCACGATCCAGAGCCACCAGTATCCATCGACTTCCCGCACACTTGCACAGATCAACACTCTATCTAGTGGGGGATCGTTATATACTGCGATAGCCAGTATGAGGCTGCCACTCGAGAACAACTCCTTCCCCAAGGGCTATCGGTTCTACGAAATATATACCCGTCCCATTGCCCCTGAGCTGTGTCAGATCTTTGCTGTAGGTACTGCGTATATCTTCGTTGCGAATTCTAATCATGCAGAGAAATACCGAGCATAGCTCGCTGAGCTACTTTGAGCTTCCTCATACAATTAATTAATAAAATATAATAATTAATGTATGATCTGAGACATTGTATTGGCGCCAAGTCGATTCCAGTTAATCGTAAATCCGGTTACTCGCGGCAATTATTGCTCGATTTACCTTGACGTCAGTCTAAGACGTTTGGCCGCGTTTGTTTTACGAGTTACCTGTATCGTAAAGATCTCCAATTATCATAGCGGTAGCGACGACAAGACGCGTATGTTTTCAACAGGTTTGACTTGTGAGTGTGCAAAGTTATATATAGTGTGCATCGTGACATTAGATGGATTGAGCGTTTTTTTCCTTATTATTTTTTACTGTGGCACTACAATGCTTAGCTGTTTGTCTACATATATATTGTGTGTTTGTCATTTAACAGGAAAATGCCCGCTTTTTTCTGTTCTAGTTTTAAGTTTGCGAATGGCAGTTTGCTGCGTCAATAAGAGGTGTCGCTTTATTCAATGCAATGATTTAATGCTCGACTTTTCACTGATCAGTTTCGTTTACCATTCATCGACACTCACGCCCGGTTTCTTAAACATTGATCATCGTAGAAGTTAACTAATCACCTGTCAAATGGCTTTCCAAATATTGAGATGCCAAAAGGCAGGCAACGGTAAACTCATTGAATTGATCATTGTGATCGTTTAAACGGTCATTGTGATCAATTCAGACAGTTTAACCATCCTTTTGGCAGCTCAAATGACATTTGAAGAGCCATTTGACAGCTGATTCGGTAATTTCTGCGATGATCAATCTTTCAGAAACCGGGCGTTAGCGTCACATAGGATAGCAGACAAACAAGTTCAGGTGTTAAGTTAATTCACTTGACAGCCTTCCAACATAGTCCATCTCCTGACCTTTGGTTCGTTGTGCGGATTGTTCCCGCCTCGGTGGATTTAATTTACGCTTATGAATAATTGATAAAAACAATACTTTGTCATTGCGTATGCAAATCGGTTCTGACAAGAGTTCTTTAATCGTGATTTACGTGTTATAACAATTAAACTTTTTCAATAATAACTATAGCACTAAACGGACATAAAATTTCATCATTACTCTATTAGGTATTTTTATGTGTGAAGGTGGCAAGTGAGCTAGGTGTTCACCCGAAGTTTAGTGATAACAGCCGCCCATGGACATATACAACCCTACGAGTGTTGCCACCTTTGATAAAAGTGGGCTCCCGCCCTCACTTACCAATTAGGTATTCTCGAATTAGGTATACATATCTTGTATACCTGATTCGCCGGATAAAAAGCAAAAATTTTAACACTTTTACTTCGGTATTTTATACCATCGGTCTTCTGCAAGGCTACGGTACTCCTGATCCGTCTGTAGCGGGAGTTGTTGAGCTTGGCATACCAACCTGTATTTCTAACTGCGGTAGGGCCACGCAATGGTGTTCACTGTTGCACGAATGTACAGGTCCGTCCGGGCAAGTACCACGACCTCACACAGCAGTGGCGTAAAGTAGAAGTTTTACACTTCTGCGTTTCGTCTGGTGAGTGAGGTAGCCGGGGCCCACTTTATTAGGTGGCAACGCTTCAGCAACTCTACGGGTGTTGCAAATGTCCACTGGCGGCGGTTATCACTTAACATCAGGTGAACCGCCAGCTCGTTTGCCACTTTGTCACATAGTAAAAAATTTGGAGGGAGTCCGAGATATGTGAATACATCAAACGACACATCCGCATGGTGATTATTGGTTATGCCCCAATGCCGGTACCTACAAATGATACTTTTAGCCAAATGTCTATCACTTCATTGCGCCGTATATAACCGGTTTCGTGTACGCCGTGACGTAATGACTGGCCAGTAATGCCAAACCGTATGGCAGGCTGATTCCCTTGACCCGCACTCATCGCCCGGCCTCCATAGCGGCTCCGTGGCGTAAATTCCGTCGTATTTTGTTACTACTCAACTGATTGCACTTTAGACGCTTCGTATGTTTTATATTTAATTAATACGAAGAACTGTAGACGTTATGCAAATCTAAACCTTTTTGTATGTCAGGGGTCGGCAACATTTTTTTTTTTAAATTAAAAACTGGCCAGTACTTGACTGCCAAGTGCCATCCCATTTAAGGGCTTCAACGCGAGCGAAGATGCGGGTAAAAGCTAGTATTTAATAAAGTCGAATCAGACTTTGGATTTAACATACCAAAATACCAGCGTAAAATCTACTTTTCATTGTTAATACAAAAATTATTTGCGGCCATAATTATATCCAGTTTAGGAAAAGTTTCTCTAAAGCAAATGCAAACATTTTAGTATATGGAATCGAACACGCGACCCAGTATTATGCGAGTAGTGTCTCGCGGCTCGAGTGGGGCTAAGAAGTGTCTCGATTTCGCAAGGTGGTGTTCGATTCTCAGCGGCCGTTTTGTACAGAAGACCAAGCGATTACGAAATCGTGTGCTTTTTACCTCAACTTTCGCAAAAATGTCAAGGCGTTCTGGTGTTCGAAAGTGGTATGACCGCGCTGTATAATCACAATTAAGTTTTATTAAATGTTCAGTTACTATTCGAAGCTCTCCTTTTTTATTTGAAAAGGTGGCAAATGAGCCGTTCAACTCGTGTTAAATGAGAACCGCCGCCCATTGCAACACCCTTAAGGTTGCATATGTTGCCACCTTTTAATAAAGTGGGCCGGCTACCCCACTCACCAGACGAAATGCTGAACACTTCCACGTCTTCTGTGAGGTCTTAGTACCAACCCGGAAGAAACACTGTTGTGTGGCCATACCACGCAGTTGCACATGGGAAACAAAAAGTAAAGTAACAGCCTATACATGTCCCACTGCTGGGCAAAGAAAGAAAGAAAAGTTAAGAAAAGTTCAAAGGCCTCCTCTATACAGAGGGTACATGGAAAATTTAACGCTAAATACATATTTCTATCCGTGCGAATCCAAGATAAGAAACCTGGTAATTAAATAATGTAAATAATGTTGTTCATTTATAGATAACTAGCTCCTGCCCGCGACTATGTCTGCGTAGAATAGGCTGAAGGCGTAACATTCAGACAGAAAGAGAGATATACATAAAAATATGTGTATAAATTATTGTTTTATTTTGATGTATAAGCTATATTATTGTAAAGTTTCATTAAAATCCATTCATTAGTATTTGCGTGAAACAGTAACAAACATCCATCCATACATACAAACTTTCGCCTTTATAATATTAGTAAGGATAAAATATGTTTGGGCCAATTCTGTCTTTGATTTATCAAAAAATAGTAAAAGCCAAAGATTTACAATTGATTTTTTTACTTTGCTCAGAGAGTTCTCGTTCCTACCGGAGAAGTCTTGCGAGGGCTATGACCTGATCTACCACAGGCTGCACAACACGGAGCCCTCAAAGTACTGCTTCGAGTATGGAGTCAAGATGCTCTTCATGACTGTTGGTGAGTAACAACTAACGCCCGGTTTCTGTAACGGTCGTCGTAGAAATTAACTAAAGTTGCCAAAAGGATGGTTGAACTCTTTGAATTGGTCATACGACTGCCCTAGTCATTTTCTTTCTGTTTTACCTAGGGTTAGCTGGTAGAGAATGCAGTATAACATTAAGCTAGCCTTTGTACTATATTTTTAAGTGCAATAAAAATTAAATAAATAAGTCATTCATCATTCATCATCAATAAACAAGACAATCGTTTAACAAGAAACAGGACATTTTAAAAAGTTACGTAAGGTAATTGTGAATATACTATATACTAGCGGGAATCGAAGACAGGTGGTACGAGAGAAAAGATATTGCATCAGTTTTCTTTCGTTTTAGCAAATGTATCCCACAGGAATCAACATCTTTCAGTATTATAGTCTATCTATACATGTAATAAAAATGTCTGTACATGGAAAATATTTGAGAAAAACTTTATTGAGGGGCCTTTATCAACGAACTAGAACCCAAAACAATGATTGTTAAAATTTTTATCTGTTCGTTTGTGCGCGCTAATCTCAGAAACGGCTTAATCGATTTGGTTTTCATCAATGAATTATAGTAAGCTTAACTTAACATTTAGTGTTAGTTTTATTTAAATCGGTTTATAAATAAAAAAGTTATTTCAACTTAAAGAACCACATTGAAGATTTCTACGATAAAATGCTATACAGGGAGGCTTTTCTAAGTGTATCCATATTTCTTTATTAAATTCTAGACACAAATAATGTTATATATAAAATGATAAATATTTAAAATCACTCGTAATTAATTAAATACATTAATTTGAACTTATCTCAAAAACTGCGTTATTTATGGGTAACTTATTTATTTTACGCGCGATCATTCATAACTAACACGCACACAAGTTCGTTTCAAAAGTATACGACGCATTTATGAATGACTACCGCATTGCCAACAAGTTCTGTTTTTAGGGAATGGAAAAAAGTTTGTTTTTATTTCAATATGTGTGAATTTCGACACCTTTAGAAAAGCCACCCTGTATAATAGCTACAGTTGAATTGGATGAAACTAAAGTTAACTATGTAATTATGGTCTGTAAAATGATGATGAATGTAAGTTGGTATAAAGTACAAAAAAACAGGTACATTTTAAGCACGATATAAAATGCACGATGTAATATACATGCGGGCGGAGCCGCGGGCGAATCTGGTTAGCCAATAAGTTTCCAGCCCATAAACTATTTGCGCGCTAAAATTCACGTGAGTCCGTAAGTTATGTTACCAATGAAATTTTTAATCTCTTAATAACTTTAACCTATGACATTTCAATTCTTTATCGGAGTTTATATTAGGTATTTGAAAAAAATTATAATTCGTAATCGAATTGAATTTTATACCTATAATTTGTGTGTATAATACCTATAGATACTAGAAAATTCACTAGATATGAACTTTAAAATGAATTTACAATTTCAATCGCTTTAAACGTAGACCATTTAATGTGTAAAATAAAATATTAATTTATAAAATTTTTCAAGAACGCAATGAAATAACGAAATAATTAAAAAATCACCGTTCGCATAACAATTATCGTAATGCCGATCACACTTTTTGTAACGCTCTCGTCACTTAATCACCAGCTTACTCTCAAAGTCAAGCGTGCGTAAAGGATTTTTACTTCAATATACCGGGTGGTTTTTTTAAAGGTGCCCAAATTCACACAGGAGGTTTAGACTCGGTAGTATAATCGTTTATTGAAATAAAAACAAACTTTTTTTTTGCAAAGAAATTGCCATTATTCCCTAAAAACAGAACTTGTTGACAATGCGGTAGTCGTTCATAAATGCGTCGTATACTTTTGAAACGAACTTGTGTGCGTGTTAGTTATGAATGACGCGCATAAAATAATGAGTTGCTTCCTAAATCACGGAATTTTTTTGGATAATTTCAAATAAATGTATTTAATAAATTACGAGTGATTTTAAATATTTATCATTTTTTATATAACATTATTTATGTCTAGAGTTTAATAAAAAAAATGGATACACTTAGAAAAGCCTCCCTGTATTTATAATGTTGTAGCGACAAAGACGAGTTGTTTTGCATGATATAACATTTCGAAATATATGGCTATAGATTATACTTCGATTAAACGTGTATTGCTGACGTGTCTTCGTTAAAAGGAAAGGTCACGACTTTAACAATCATTTTTATTAAAGGTGAAACATCCTAGTGGATAATAACATTTACAATTTATTAATAATAACATTTTACATGTTATTTCGCGTAATATTAAAATTTTAACCCGTGTAATGGCTTGTCTACCCGTGGCATGACCTTTCATATTCGGTGCGTTATTTCGATTGGTACGGACCGAAATGCCACGGTCAAGGCTGGAACGGCAAAAAATTGGTATTGCGGGCGGAATGAGAAGAAGTAATTGACTAATTTTCACCCGTGACAAAAGAGTTTTCTGGTGTTCGCTTTTAATTAAGTATAATCGTGCAACGTGAGTTGAAATCCCGAATTAAATTTTAATAGCAATTTGTACTGGGCGGTGGAGAGAAACTTGTATGTTTTCTAAATAAACAAAAAATATTTTGAAGACGTGTGACATCTGCCAATCTTGATTGACCCTCTGTACAGAGGAGGCCTGGATGTTTGTTACTCTTGCATGCGAAAACTACTGAATGGATTTTAAAAATACTACAACATAGCTTACAAATCAGAATAACACATGAAGATGCAAGTGTCTCTCATAGCAACGTTTTCTGTTTATTACGCCTTCACGGCTGAACTGAAAAACAAATTTCGATGAATTTTGGTATAAGGATGGATAGGACCTTGGAGAAGAAAATAATCTACTAGACGTACTAATCCTAGGCAGACGAAATCGCGGGTACAAGCTAGTGATAACATAAGTAATAAAATTTTAAGTGAAAATTGTAATTGTACACGATATAATAATTGTTACACGAGAGCGGCACTAAAGTGAAAAGTCGACCATTTTGTCTGTCAGTTTACCATAATATATGTTAGTATCTCACCGGCTTACAGACGTCAGCGTTGAGTCACGTCTGGTGTGTCTGGTTAACAGAGACCCTGGGAATTGCCCGCGAAACTCTGCAGCTCCTATCCATGTGTGGCGGTTCTAGACCTGAGATGAACCATCACCGGCAACAACTGCGTTTACCGCGGACTTCCTGAAGTGGAAGTATTAAACTTTTGCGTTTCGTCTGGCGAGTGAGGTACCTAATCGGCGCCCACTTATTAGGTTTCCGTACCCAAAGGGTAAAACGGGACCCTATTAATAAGACTCCGCTGTCCGTCTGTTTGTCTGTCTGTCACCAGGCTGTATCTCGTGAACCGTGACAGACAGTTGATGTATATCTGTTGCCGCTATAGCAAAAGATACCAAAAAAAACAAAATAAAGAAGTAAAATGGGGCTTCCATACCACTGACATGATTTTTTTGCCTTTTGTAAAGATAGTGGTATGGAACCCTTCGCGCGCGAGTCCTACTCGCACTTGGCCAGTTTTTTTTTAAGTTTGGTTTTTAAATTCCATGGGCGGCGGTGTTCCATTAACACCACGTAACAAAAAATGTTGAATATACATAACCAGGCATTTGTCAGATAGCTCTTAACCTTTGTCCGTCGTATCATAGCTTTTGCAACTAATTTATAATTATGGTTCATTGTGATTTACGTGCTGTAGCGAATCTCTGAGCACGACGGTCTCGGAGAAAGAAATTATTAAAGTAACAGCCTATACATGTCACACTGCTGGGCTAAGGCCTCCTCTATACAGAGGGTAAAATTATTAATTTATACTTTATTGTACACCAAAAGAATCACAAATGAATGTAAAAGGAAATACAATAGGCGGTCTTATCGCTCAGAAAGCGATTTCTTCCAGACAACTAATTTTGGCTAAAGAGATTAATGTACTAGTACCTGGAGGACCGAGCTTTGCTCGGTTTGTTTTTTTGTAAATCGTGTATTTTGGAATTTACATTTAGATAAAAATTGTACTGGTGTTTTTCACAAAAGAAAGAACTTTAAAAAAAAAAGGGAAAAAGAACAAAATCATCTGGATCGACAAAAAATATAAAATAAAAAAGGAAATGATCTGGAATCGAAAAAAAAAGTAAAAAAATAAGTTTGTAGATGATCGTTACACGAACCACGGCCTTCTGTTCTGTTTCGGGGTCGCCCGATTACCGACCGAGCTATTATAACATTTTTTTTCGGTGAAATTTACCGTCGTATTTGAATATTTTTCATTCCCTGAAAACTGGGATAAAACGACATTTTCACCTCGTTTAAAGATATAACATACTAACCAATTATCTTTTTTAATTATAATTATTGTCAATTTATATAAAATATTATAGTAACATTGGGTGATGACGTTTGCTTTCTTGCTTTTCGTTTGTTGAAGTTGTCGAATTGATAATTTATCGTATTTCAATGAACGCAGAGTATAATTACCACTATCCGAGGTCATTATAAAATTGTGTATAGTACCGGACCTGTTATATAGCAAAGGTTGATTTCATAATCTCGTATATTCGTGCGAATATTAAAATTAAAATATTTTATAATGCTTTTGACAACATTAAATGTTGTCATGTTAGATACTATTTGCAATTTAAAAAGTCATGTTCGAAAACGGTTGCACATTTATAAGTTGAAATATAGCGTGATGATATTTTCTGTTTTTAATCCTTACTTTATTCATAGCTTCATCTTATTTGTCTTGTAATGTTTAAACGGTTTTATTTAGCTCGACCCGTACGGAATTTGTTTATTTATTTGGGTCAAAATAAGAAATTGAAATTTAAGGACCTTCCCGTTGTCAGATTGATCTGAAATTTGGTACACACATTTAATTTAGATGACAATACAATATTGTAGTTTTCAGTGCACATAAAATAAAACCGTTTAACTTAAAAGTTTGATCCGCCAATCCGCAGTAGGGCCGCGTGGTGGACTATGCT